AACGAGAAGCAACGGGTGGAAACTGATCAAGGAGAGAAGCAACTTAGAACTAAGGAGAAACTTTCTGACAGTTAGAACAATTAACCAATGGAACCACCTGCCTCCAGAAGCGGTGAATGCTCCAACACTGGAAGTTTTTAAGAAGAGACTGGGCAGCCATTTGTCTGAAATGGTGTAGGGTTCCTGCCTGAGCAGGGGGTTGGACTCGATGACCTCCAAGGTCCCTTCCAACTTTTATTATTATTATTATTATTATTATTATTATTATTATTATTATTATTATTAGCAACATAATTCTTTACCAGCCCAATTTATATATAGGATTACATAGCCACCAGAGAGAATATTTGAGTACATTGTAATACAGTATTTATCTCAAATCCATGTCAAGAAGATGCTCAGATGCCATAACTCATTTGCCCTGAAAATTTGTCTACATTCTGAGCATGATTTAGTTGGATTTCATTTTAATGCACAAATATATTTTGGTTCATGTGGCAATTGTGAATTTATAATATTGACACTATATTAACATTTAATGATCCTAATTTTCTGAGTCTTGCAACACTTTGTTTCAGAACATGGTTTTCTAGAGTCACAACATTTCATTGGGTAACCATACTGATTCAGCCATTAGCTGCACCAGCTTATATTTAACTTGGTATTTAGATATATGAATAGTTAAACTTAGATAATTCTAGAACTTTAAGTTTATTTGAATAACATATGTCATCTAATTTTGCCTTGCATTCCATTCTTATCCTAGAGATTTTTCAGATTTAACAAAGTTGCTTGAGGTTTTGCAGTTCTTTTCTTATTTATTTATTTATTTTATTTATTACATTTATACCCCGCCCTTCTCCTTGTGGACTCAGGGCGGCTTACAGCCAGTTTAAAAAACAAAACAATCAATACAATATACAAAATTTAAAATGTAGTTAAAAAGAAATATTAATATGGGCCTTTCTTCCTTTTTTAAAAGTTAAAAGTTATTTAAAAGTTAAAAGTTATTTAAAAATAACTGGGTATGATAGCTGGGTATGGTTTTTCAGGCAAATAGCTCAAGACTGCTGGCAGATACTAGATTTTTGTAATAAAGTGGTTTTTATATTTTCAACTTTTCCCTAACATTTATAATAAACTTAAATTTTGCTTTTCTTTGTGGTGCCTCCTCAAACTGATACCCTTGGCTAGTTCAGTCTGTTTCCAAAGATCTTATATTTACACAGAGATTTGATAAATTCAATGACTCACATGGGATTTATAGAGCAATAACATACTGGTATCCTTGAGAAAATCTATTAAAATTCCTTTTGTCAAAGTAAGATGACCAAGATGCAATGCCAAGTGAAGAATAGAAGAGGAAGAATGGGAATGTTGAAGGGAACAAAGTCAGCAAAATATTTGCAAAGAATATAGCCATTCCTCAGATAGCAATTTTTTTTTAACAAATATGGTAATAATAAAATTTCCAGCTAACGTGTGCTCTTACAACTAAATTTCTCTTGGAGTGAAAGTAATGCTGGCATAACTATATAAGAGAACTTTATCTGAAAGCGACATCAGGAACCAGCAATCTTTTCTGCATCTCTCTCTGTCTTCAGTTATGTGGTTTGCTTAATGAATATTTCACTTAGTGACCATTTTACTTCTGTTTTAAGGAACAGATTGCAGTTGCCAAATGAGAAGAGGATATATATCAAACACTTTTTCTGAGGATTCCTAAAAAATTAGATAAAACAATTATGAAAAAAAAAATAGAAAAATCTATAATGTGATGGTGGGAAATAAAGGGCAAATCAGAATAGCCAGAACCAAAATTCTAGAAGATTTTAACTCAAAATGAATATTTAGTCTCAGTGTATTGAAGGAAAACTATAGGATTTCAAAACTGTTAATGTTATTTTTGCTTAAGATACCATTTTCTTTAAGTCAATAGGTGTCAAGACTTTCTGTTTACCACTTGTCTTGGAGCCTATTGAAACCCTATTGAAGTCAGGAGTATTCCTTATCAATTCTGCTGTAGGT